TTACATTTGGTAGTGTATATATGTCCATGCCACTCTCTCACTTTGTCACAGCTTACCCTTCCCCCTCCCCATATCCTCAAGTCCATTCTCTAGTAGGTCTGTGTCTTTATTCCCGTCTTACCCCTAGGTTCTTCATGACCTTTGAAAATGTATATATTTTTAAGTAAAGAATAATTGTACCAATTAAAGTATCAATAATAGGTATTTTAAAAAAAGAGCTCCTTCAAAAAGAAATGAAACAGATTCTTAATTATTAGCATATTATTAGCATAATAGCACAAATATTTGGAAGTTTTTAATAGATCAAAATGATTTAAGCTTGTTTTGAAATTTTTGATGTATTTCTGACTAAGTCCCTGAGCTTTGCAAATATGTTTCATTATCTCATACAACCCTTGATGAAGAAGCCCCATTTCTCTATGTAATAGTTTCATCCTAAAATATCTAGTCTTGATCATTCCTTCTTTGGTTTCCATTACAGGTCTTCAAACCAAGAAATATAAAGATGCATCTGGTAAATTTAGTATTCAAGCAGGTGTGTTCTCCCAATACATACCTGAAATATTCAGTATCAGTCAAGAGTTTTAAGTAGTCTTTTCTAATTAAGCAGGCTTATGTGAGCAGATTCTTCCCTGTAGAAAGAACCTCTTCGTAAACAGCCACCTTTGCAGTAGTTAGACCTTGTAATGTTGCAACATTTTTTATTTTTATGCCTTTCATAATCCCCAATTGCCATTCATTTAGATTCAAGACTTGAGCACTTAAAATGAGGTTACATCAGGGGAGTTCTGAAGATGGTAGAGGAGTATTTTTTCCGAAGACTTGCTTTTGAAATATGTTTTACAATATTTTATAAGGTATTTTTTTTTCAGACATAGACCAATCTTTCATAACATCCTAAAATGTTTACTACCAGGCAGAACTTGATTGATTTGACGTGGTCATAAAAGTGTGCTTTTATATCAATTATCCAAAAAAAATTACAGTTCTCTTTTCATAATGACTCTTGTATTAAAAGCAACAATTAAATACTTTCTCATCTAGTTTTTCATAGAACCATGCAATTTATTTATATGATCCATTTGGTATTAATCATTTTTTTAATTCATTTACAGTAAAGAAATTGAAATAGGATGTGTAATCCTACCTACTGTGGGTTTTTTCAGCTGAAATTTTAGTGATGCAATCAAATTAGAATCCCATATTCCAATTGGCACTCAAGTTTGCCCTTCTTGGCCCTTCATTACCCATTATTGTTAGTCATAGTAATTTTTTACTTCCCTCCTCTATTTCATTCTCTGAAGAGAGACTAGTGAGCCCATCCAGCATAGAGAATAAATTTGTTTTCTTCATGTACTGACTAGTTTCACTCTTTGATCTATTGAGTCATTCATTCACTAATCATTTGCACTATGAGGAATATAAAGATTAAGTAAGTTTCTATCATCTCTGTAAAGTAAACCATCAGGGAAAGAAGTGAATTTTATTCATGTTTTATTCTCATCCTCCTACTTCTTCTTTTACTTTTCCACCTTCAGTGACTCTTTCAACCTGTCAAACAAGTTTGCACTTAAACACACTAAAAATGAACCTTCATTTTTATATTTATATCTCTTCAGTATGCATGGTGAAGTATTAATTCAGAATAACTGGTAACCATTTACAATCAACAAATCAATAATCAATAGCAAATTCAGGGTTTGTGGTTGTTGTTTGTTTTAAAGTCAAGTCTTCTGTGATATGCTTTGTACTGTGCCCAGTATGCAAGAGGTATTCAATAAGTGGTTACTGAAAGAATATGTGAACCTCTCCAAATTTCAGAAATATTGTATCTGCTTCTTGTAGACCCCTTGTCTGCTCTATTCTCAAAGGAAATTAAATTGTTCTCTTACTCTTTCTTTATAATAAAGCTGCTTTGCTTATTGCCCAGGAACAGTGTTCTGAATGGTTGACAATCTATTGTTTGACGATTTGTCTTTCCTGAGTTCACTGTGAGTTGAGAATATTAACTGCTAATATAGCTCATTTTACTTCTAAGATTGGGCTCTAAAGAATTCTTCCCGAATATTTGGTATCTTCTCCTATTTTGCATTAATTATGAAAAATACTATCTAATGACTTTGAAATGAGATTTCCAGTTCTCATATTTCACATCAACAAAGTCTCCTTATTTGAATTCACATGTGTGTTTTAAATGTTCTGGAAGAATCTTCTTTTGTGTTGTAGTTTGGCTTGGGGCTACTCTGAATTTGGTGGTTTTCAGTTAACTGGTCAGAACTGAACATGATCAATTAATTGCCTGTTTCACAATTTCAGAGGCCCAGTTGCTATATGTAAGATCAAAGGAAAATACCCCCCCCCAAAAAGCTAGTTAAGCATTACTTTTTCCCCCTATTTCAACCATATTTTTCTCATTTAGGTGGTGATTTTTGCTTGCTAGTTGGAAATTTTTATACCCCTTATAGAAATAAATAAGCATCTATGCATTTCCAGTTCTTAGAAGTATAAAGAACTACAAATTTTAAAAAATCTGTATAGATTTAAAAAATCTATATAGACTTCTATGCAGACAGTACATTATGAAATTCTGAACTCTCATATTATTTTTTTCACTTCTACATATACTTATTCTAAACAGAAATTTTTCTAAAACTACAAGCGTTTGTAGAAATCATCTAATTTAAATATTTCATTTTAAGAAAATGGTTCAGACATACAAACACTTTACAATGTGATATTATAAATACCTGTGTGGTCAAGATTCAGTATGAGAAAGAAAGCGCTGAACATTGGGTTGAGGCTCCCCACAATGTCTTTCCAATTTCGTTCATCCCAGAGATAACCTATGCCCTGAATTTCATGCTTATCATTATCATGCATGTTTATATAATTTTGCTACATACACATATGCTCAAAAACAATAGATATAATTAGATATAATAATGTTTTAAAACTTGATATATAAATATATCATCCCACAAGTACCTTTCTGCAACTCTGCTTTTGTTGTTGCAGCTCCACATTGCACTTTTGAGGTGCAGTCATGCTAACTCAAGTAGCTATAGTGCATTCACTTTTCTTTTTACTGCATCTAATATTGCAGTATGTGAATATTCTGTAAATTCCTTGTTCACTAATATATCCAAAGATGTTTTTATTTTTTCTCTTTCAAGTAATTTTGCAATGGGTATTTTCCATACATGCATAGAGACCTAGAGAAGAATGCACGAGTGGAGAGACTGGATTTTGGGATGGAAGAATCTTTATCACTCAACTTCTCTTGAAAGTTGTACTATTACCTGTTCTTCACGGTTTCTCCACATCCTCATAAATATTTCATATTGCTGGACTTATAAAATTTTGCCAATTTCATAGTTGTGAAATTATATTTCATCATTTTAACTTGCATTTCTCTACTAACTAGGGAAATTGAATACCTTTTTCAGATGTTTATTGGACATTGAGAATCCTCTTCTGTCAACTGACTGTTCATCTTGTTGGCTCATTTCTTTTCTATAATATTTTTGTCTTCATCGATTTATAAGAAATCTGTATGTACCTGGATACCAATCCTTCTTTGGTTATATAACCAGAGATATCGCATAGCAAATATATTCTCTCAGTCTATGTTTTGACTTTTTGTATGTACATACATTTTTTTCATATGCCTAATCTATTGTCTGAATAATTCATCTTTCCTTACTGCCCTCTAATGCCACCTGGTATTTATCAAGTTTCCATAAATGTGGAGATATATTTCTAAGCCCTCTATTTTGTTCCCCTGGACCAACTTCTAGCTATGAACCAAAGCTCCATTGCCTCAATTACTGTCATTATATATTAAGCCTTAATAGTCAATATAGAAATTCCCCATACCTTGTTCTTCAAAATTGTATTGACAAGTTTTGACCCTTTCCTCTTGTATAAACACTTTAGAATTAACTTTTCAAGTTCTATGAAAAACTACAGTGGGCTTTCAATAATAATTACTTCAGTTTTATAGATTAATTTACAATTGAGTCTTCCATCCAGGAGCAAGTATACTTGTTAGTTTATTTGAGTTTACTCTTTAATTTTAATAGATAAATTAACCCTGGGTCAGAAGTGACTGCTCAAAGTCACATAGCCAATTAATAACAAAACCAGTGGTAGAAGGAAGATCTCTTGACTCCTTAGTAGCTCGTACACTAAAAACGTTTAATTATTTAGTCAGTTAGGAAAGAAGACCTTGGAGTCCTTGCAGCTACTGCACCCACCAGCAGGAAAGTGAATTCAACTTCCCGAGTTTACTAGGCCCTTGATAAATCAGAGTGTAGTCAGAGGGCTTGCTAGAAATGCAGAATTTCATCCCTTCCCTGGTCCTACTGAATCAGAATCCTCATTTTTAAAAGATCTCTGGGTTATTGGTAGGCACATTAAAGTTTATGAAATATTGCTTACCAAACAATCCTGAAATTCATTGCATTGGTTGTTTTTCTCTAAAACCTGCCCCAAATGCATATATATATATATATATATATATATATATATATATATATATACACACACACACATATAAATATTCCTTTAAAGGAAACAAAATGTTAAGGGTTTTTCTAAAAACAGCATATCTCAGGAATACTGAGGCTTCTTTTGATATCTGTAGTTATTCAGGAAACAAATACATTTGCTTTGAAATCACTAGCTGCCCCAAATTGGCCTTTTAGCTACTATCAGCCATTGGGGAAAATTCTGTAGAAAAAAGATGGAATACTGCAGAGACAGAAGCACAGAAGATTCAGTCTTTAAAGTAAAACAAAGAAGAAAGATCAGACGATTTTTTCAAGTAGTCACATACTATTCATGTTAATCTCTGTTCAGCCTTCTTCTTGTTTCACTACTATAGCAGCCAGTTATCTACAGCGGGGAGAGGGGAGGGAAAAAAAAAAAACGGTGAGGAGAGGGGATTAAAAAAAAAAAAAAAAAAGTAAGATCCCTGCAATATCACGTCAAGCCACTAGGGGTATCTTTGTACCATTTTTCATCCTGCACTGATTTGGAGTAGAAACCTATATTAGGGGAAAACCAGGGTCCTCGGCATTTTTTGCGAGCAGTGCACCCAGAATCCAAAAAAGACTTTAAAAAGAAAGAAGGAAAGAATCCACAGTTCTTTTGGTCATCTGAACAGGGCTACGAAATCGCTCTACTGGACATCAGCACCAGGGATTCATTTTTGAGGTCAATTTCCAATCGAGATAAATCTATTGGATTAGTAGGATTATCTGATTGCAGCTGAAAGAAGTAACGTTGTTTGATCATTTGTATTTTTCGCCTGATGGTCGGATTTACATGGAGGTGGCTTTGAGTCTCAAGGATTCTGGATCGTGGTTGCATCTGGAGAGAAAAAAGGATCAATCGAAACGTTTTGGAAGTGTCCGTGGGTGAATAAAAAAAAGAAAAAAAAAGGAAGGGGGGGCGCAAAACTGGGGTTGCGGCTGCTTAGAGAAGAAAAAAATAAATAAAATAAAGGAAGCATCTTGAATTCTGAAACAAGAATTAACCGGGTGCTCGAGATTCCAAAATAAGCGTCTAGGAGCTGGTAAATACTTAGAGCAATTCAGCTTGAATTTGACGGCGAAGTGTTACAGAAACTGTCTCCTTGAATTATTGGAAGGGGACTGGGGGAAGATGAGGGGGCTTCTTCTGTGGATTTATCTTACTGAGGGTAAGTGTGGGGTCTTTTATTGGGAGGGGGCTGCCTGGGTCTGTGTGCCGCCGCGCGGAAGGTGCTGCGGACACGGTGCCTGTGAAATGGAAAGAGAAGTGGGGGATGTAGACCACCTCGCGCATCTCCGGTGGATCGCTAGGGAGCTACCTAGATCGAGCTTAAAAACCTTATTTTGTGGCGTCGGTGGGGAAGCCAAGCAACCCTCCAAGCTCTCAAGTTTGCATTGAAAATCTCTCAGTTGGGAGATCCCTCTTGGATCTAGTGCTTTCTCCTAGTGATACTTTAAGGAGAGGCGGCAGCGATGCCTTGGAAAACCTGCATGTGGAAGGCGGGGAAACCCAAGTAGAAATCGCTGCTGCCTTGGCCGCGGTTTTGGTGGCTGTCTTGGCTTCCAGGGGGAATTTTGAGGGGGAATTGGCCGTTTCATATTGTCTCTTTCTCCCTCGCTCTTTCTTCCTTCCCCTTCCCGCCTCTCCCTCCTCTCAGAAACACCAAAGGGTTACAGGGTCACTGCATCGGACAGAGACAGTAGAAGTGGGTGACTGGCCACACATGTTGTTTTGTAATTCACTTGCTCCACTTTGCATAATACAGTCCGAGGTAACTTTCTTCGAGTTGGACGAGTCCAGGAAGGCGTTGCAGCCTTTCTGCCGAGGGCCCAGGCTGGCAAGTGCGCCAGGCAGCCGGCTGCATTTCTGATGGATCCCTACCCTGGCTCCCTCGCCAGTTACTGGCTTTTCTTTCCAACTGAGCGGTGCGCGCGTTTCCAGACATTTTCTTGCAACTGAATTCAGGGATTTTTTTTTTCTTTTTCTTTAAAAATGTTATTTCATTGCTCTCAGCAAAAGCTCGTCTTTATTTACAGTAGGAAAGTCAATTTCAGCAGATATAATTAAAATTAATCACTCAAATGAGTGAATATTAATTGACTTAGGAAACTATAAGTTGCTTTGGAATCAGAAAAGCATATTATTCTGAACCAATTTTGGAGTCCACATAGGTTCAGAACAATTACATATAAAGAAGTGGTTCGTTTAAAATATGTAGATAGATATGTTAAATAAGTTAATGCACTCCCCTCCCTTTATAAGCTTCTAATACCTCAGCATCATAGTTTTAGTTGGCTTTTCCTATTTAAGGCCAATTTGTTAAATTTTAAACCTCAGACATTCAGCTGTATTAGAATAAAATGGAGATATATAATAGTTAAACTACAAAATAATGTATTTTCTACATTTTAATCTTTTAAAGAAAAGCATCAAATATTTTTTCAGGGGTTTCTGTTTATAGATTATGAAATGTGACCTTTATGGTTTTAACATTGAAACCTCTTCATTAAGTGTGAACTCATTGAAAGGCAACTCTTCAATATCATCTAAAGCCCTCATCATCCCAATACTTATTTCAGGAATTCCAGATACAACAGACATTCAGGTATTAAAAGAGGAGCCTCACCAAACTTTCTTCCTGGATTTGTGTGTGTATACGTGTTTCGTAAATCTAAACACTGAAACAAGAACAATGCCATTCCTTTTTTAAGATTAAATAGTAAAATATGAAACTCTTGTCTCCCAAGGATTCTACAGTGGAAAAGTTACTTATTTCTGCAGACTTTGCGTAAGTTTTTCTAGAGATGATAAAAACAGTAAGAAATAGTTTCTAAAAGCCTAACTGTTAGTTTTAAGAAGATATCTGAGAGGTTAGGTTTGCCTTTTTTTAAAAAAAAAAACGCAGCTCTAAATCACGTGGTTTATGTGCAGCAAGAACTAGAAGAATGGATATTCTGCATTTTGGTACATTCTAGCCACTGATGCTGGCCACATAGTCCACTAATATTAACATCTTTTTCAAAGTTTAAGTTAAAAAAGACAGCTAGCAAGTAACATATTAAATGATAATAGTAAATCAATAATGAAGGTGAATGGGAGATGGGCTGGGATTCCTCTTTTTAGACTAGTAGATAATATAATGTTGATACTATAAAAGTAGATGGAGAATATGAAATATGAAAAAGGAAGTCATTTTAAAATTTAATTTGCATATTTCACAACCACTGACCCAGTGGTCATGGCATGTGCCATAGTGCTAAAGCCAGAATAGTCAGCTTAAAGTGCCTTTGTAATGGCTGAACAATATTTTCGTTTGTCAAGAATAATCAATACTTAGTAGTCCCTCGTTCCATTTTCTTTTGGCAGTAAAAATGAAAAGGGGGAAACTTTGGCCCACTCTATGGTTTCTACAAGCAGTTCCTACATAAAACTTTGGTAAACTTTGTAGGTGGTAGATCCACTTTGGAAGGTTAATAATGATAGAAATAAAAATAAACAAAATGATACACCACAAAAAAATTTTAAAGCTATAGCCAGTAAATGAAGAGCAAGTTACCCAGTTACATAAAAGTTCTCTATTAATAGAGTGGATGACTCTAAGAACTATTGAAAAACCTGAAGAGTTCATTTAGAAAATTAATTACATTTGCTCTACTTTATCCAAATACATTTTTTTTTTGGTCATGATTATTAAAAAGAACATGGTAGCCTTGATCAGCTGTTCCAATTTTGCTATTGAATAACACAAAATGTGGTAGTTTGGGGTAAAGAAATAGAAACTCTCAATTAGCCCTGAAAGTTGCAAGCACAGTTCCTAATGTATGTGACAAGAAATAGCGTTGGATTCCCCCAAGCTTATCACCATGGAAAAACTGATGTTGATTCACTGGAGCTTTGCTGCACCTGTCTCTCGAAAGCCTTCCACGTGTTCTAGCTGGCCTAACATTCAGGGGGTGCTGAATACATTTGCTGCAGATTCGTTCCATGATTTGAGACATTTAAATACAGTTAAATATTATTCTACATTAACTGATTTTCTTTTAAAGAAAATTGCTACACACTCTTAATTGAAAGCAAAATGAAAAGGGCAATCCTTTTTAAATGATTTGTTGAAATTTATCACATGGCTTCTCAAAGTGCAAATCTTCCATCTCTTTTGCTTTATCAAGAAATGCAAAAAATATAAAACCCTTAAAACTTAAAAAGTTTCAATATTTAATATTTCAAATTTGCAAAACACAGAAACATTAAAAAAATTAACATATAGAACACTCACGATGAATTTAGGGTGTCCTTTTAAATGCCTTTTAAAAGGTAATTTAAAACATTTTGAGGTAGTTAACCTCTTAATCTTGTGGGATAGCTACATTCTCAACTGTTCCTAAGAATAATTCCTTAATAGTAACAGGTTTGATTATTTATCCTTTGTTATTAATGGCATCACACTGACAATGTCAAATATTGCTATGTTGCTATAAAAGGATATGAATTATTTCTGCCTTCAATATCTCCCCCCGCCAAAGAAAACCCACCTATTTGGTAGCAAACATGTTTGAAAGAGAAAGACTGCCAACTCTAAGCTTAACTGAAGTCAGGGAAAACTAGTAAATCACTCCAGACATTTGAAATTATTAGACATTAAACTTTTGGGGGATTTTATATGAAGTCTTTTTATAACAGTCGATATAATCTCTTCTGTGTCTATTTCCATTGCATGTAAGAGAAATTCTAGTCAATGGCAAAATGCTTTACTGCTGCCATTACTGCAGACTTTATAGATGAGAGATGTGTCAGCATGTTAGCTTTAGCAGTAATGCCTCTTTTGTGTGAAACCTTATGGGCCTTACAGGCACTTTCTCATCCTGACACTCATAAAACATTCAATTCCCCATATTTATTATTTAATTTTCTTCCTATATATAGCAACAGAGCACTTCAGTATATGAATGTGTACCCAAAAAGATGACAGGCAAACATGAATGGGACTAATGAGCTTTAATAATACACATATTAGGGGTTGCTAAAGGAAGTTTAATTAAGAAAAACAAGTTGAGCATGAAATTCATTTTGGAACAAATGCAAGTTAAGTTATTGCTACAGATGTAAAATCAAAAATCACAGAGATACATCACAGGAAATAAAGTTCCAGCCTGAGACTAGACCTACTAAATGCAGTTGACATCTTAGGACTTGCCTTTAAGTTGATGAGCTTGGGCCTGACTTATGAAATCGAAGAATATACACTTTTTCACAGTTTTCACTCTTTTATAGCAATTTTGGTTTAGTACGTTAACTCTGTATCCAGGCATGTTCTGTATTAGTCCCCTTGAGACAGGCCACACAGTAGCCTTTCATTTCTCTATGGTCTACTTTTCTAATACCACATATGCCTGCAGGTAGGGCTACCTGCCAAAACCCATGCCATCCCTTTGGGTGTGCTGTAAGTGGTGCTTCAGTAGGAGATCTGCTCATATATCAATTTACCTGCACCTATAGTTTAATTTTTGGCATAATTTAGAAAATAAGTGGATTTATTTATCTGTTTTCTTGCTTATTTATTTATTTGGTAGTGGCATTGTATATTGGGGCAGAAATTGAAGAAGAGAGAGAATATTGGGCAAATATTTCCTTAGAATGTGGTTTTCTCATATTTTGTCTGTATTTAAATAATGTAGGTACATTCTGGGAAGAGTGAAGCAGTCAGGCAATAATATGAAGGTCTTATGTATGCTCCTCAACAACTGCCTTTTTGGAAACAACCAATTGATAGGCTAATTTATTATTCATACAGACCTTTGGCATCACTTGTGTGTAACAGTAGTTTTTTCTTCCTTGAAACACCCAATGAATATTGAGTCTTCAGAAGAAAAGAGGTTAGTTGTAACATTTCAAAATGAATTGAAAATCTTGCCTTTTTTTTAGATAGTTATGGTGAATACTTTCATACTGTCGTATGGAATAGTCCATATTGGAACTTTAACATGGTCACACATTAAATCAATAAATACTGATTTGATAAAAAACTAACTTAGAATTATCACTGGCGTAAGTTTTTCCCATAGGACAACCATTCCGCTTATGATAGAACTGACCAGGGAAACAGTGATTACTACATATCACATTGACCAACAGTTATCACAGTATTCACACCTGAAAATAATACTTGAG